AGTTTTTCCCTGCACATAGAATCATCTGCAGTTTGTTCTGCTGCAAGTCTACAGCTCTGCTGTCTGTTTTTGTTCTGCAAAGTTACTCGGTGGTCAACGTATTCCAGCCCCTCCATAGTTATAAGTAGTTCTGTTATTCATTGACATGGAAAGATATCTGAAAGATGATGGGAAGCCATGTGGAAGAGGTTGACTACTGATCGTACTTACATAGGCAAGTTTTCTGTCATTTTTTTGTGTTCCATGGATCTTCAATTTCTTTATAAGTTGAATTTCGCTGACACTCTATGTATGATTTCATTCTCTTAATTTGTCATTTCCTGCTTTGTATAGATAGACCTATCTGTTAGGTTGTCTAAGAACAACTTGAGTGGCTTCTCTAACTAGATAGAGAGAATCTGTTGGATTGATGAATCATTCGTAAAAGCTAAATTTCTTTGGTCTATGATTTATTTTGATGCTAGGCTGTTAGAGGAAGTGAAAAATTTGTATCTCCAACTGAATATTGCGGTATCTTTATTCTTAATGACATCAAGGTCTGAATCATTCTGGTTCTATAGCTAGAGCACTGTATTTATGGGAGAAAGTAGTTGTTTCATCATAAATATGGAGTCTGTGAAAGGTGGAATTTTCTGGATGCAAACCTCATCCAAAAATAGTTTCCTCATTTTCAGGATGATGTTTTCCCTGCATCATGCTAACAATGTGAAGAAAAATAGGATCTATTGTTCTACAAAGATGTGCTCTTGAGCATGGACTGTTGGAAGTACATTGTTAGAGAGTTGCCATTTGCTACTTAAGGCTTTCCTTCATGTAACCGAAGATATGTGGAAAATGATGCTAGCAGTTCTGAAGAGTTAACTTGTTGCTGATCTGAAATTTTTAATTAGGAATGTCACGTTAATAAGATTGTTTACGTAATTGTAGAAGTGGAGGCAGGAGTAGAGTTATTCGTGGACTGATGCTTTCCTTGCAAGTTCTTTTATACCAGTTAATGAATAGTTGTTGTTTCCTTGGATCATTCTGGTGGTTAAATAAAGTTGTTGCTTGGTTACCACTCACCTATAGAAGATTCTTACATCTTTTTTATTCGAGATTCTTACTAATTTTGTGCTTTTAATTGTTTGCAGATCGGGGACCTGGTATTCATCACCCATAACAGTGAAGACAGAGCGTGTAATAATCTTACATGAGCTTGAGGACATATGTCATATGATGAAAGAGGTAAAGTTGCATATGCTTCCAGAGAAACATGAAGAAAATAATAATAAAAAACAACCCTCTTTCCAAATGTGAATTCATTGATACTCATGCATAAATCTTAAAGGTGATGCAAGTCGACGGGACCGTTACTCTCTTCTTGGCCCCAAGACAAGTGTTTATAAGGTAAACTTAGACGTACTAGGAAGCGACTTTCAGCCAAGTCCATGTGGTCTGCTAGGCTAAAGTTCCAAGCCTGTGAAAATCAGGTTTGTAAGTTATTCTCCTAATCCTAGGCGTAGGTTACAGTTTACACTATATCAACCATCTCTGTTTTACCTCTCATTCCCAGATTCCTGCAATCTCTAGTAATGGTATGATTTTGACATTGCAATTCCTGGGTATGATCATTGATCAACCAATTAGGCTTGCATACAAGATTGTTTTAGTTAAGCTAAGATTTCCATAAAATGTCTTTCAGTCTTGCTAATATAATAGATCAATAAAAACAGGGTTCACACTGATAAAAGATAGGATCCGTTTAATTTCAAGGGGTGACATTTCCATTTTTCTGGAAAGTGAACAACATTGATGATAACTTGTTTCAAGAATTTTTTTTTATTTTACTTAGCATGTTTCTATCATGAGAAAATATTTTTTGAAACCGAAGTCTTGCCCCCCCCCCCTTTAAATCAGTCAAGCTCACCTGCATAATTAGGTTGCATGCATGATGGAAAAAGTAGACCTAATATGATATTCTATGAAACGCCAACCCTCTAAATTACATAGCATAAAAATATATATACATGTAACATTGTCAGAACAAACTGGCATACACAAAAGTCATATCATTACAGCCTCTTGCATTGCTTGTTTAGGATCTGCAATATCTCTGTTTTGAATCCCAACACTCTCTGTCCCTACCTCCTCTTGGCGTGGTCTTTTCTCTTTTCATTTTATTTGTTTTTGTGTATAATTACATCAACTCAAATTTATTATATGACATTGTGCATTTAATCATAATTCACGTGTAATGTTAGGAATTATGCCTAAAACTACATATTTCATTTTCTTTTGAAAAGAATACACTTCTATATTTAGGTTTCTTGAGCATAATAACTTGTTTCCTTTAAAACTATTCTTTTACCCACTTTTCTATGGGATTGCAGTATGTTTCTTAACTCAGTTAATATGGTTATTGTCATAACTTAAGAAGTTGTGGGTAGGTTCGAGTTTGTGTACTTGCTAATATATTAATTTGATAAATATGTTGTTTGGATGATTTGTGAAGTTTAGTTAATATATAAAAATATATATTTAAATAAGTATTAAAAAAATCAAGGGTAAAATTAGTGCTTCTCTTAAAAATTGTAATTTTTTTAGAAGAATTAAAAGATAGTAACTGAAATACATGTCATATTTAAAGCCATCGTCCCTTCACAAATACTTTATTGCTTGACAGCTGTCACGTTCCTCCCATATTCTCTTGATTTCCCTTCACAACATTCTCTAACTCGTTTCTCTTCTTCCCCAAAAAACGAAGTTTTTGCTTCGGCCATGACAACCTATGGAACGATCCCAACTTCCTCAACCCCCTCGGAAAACCTAGAGTACCTATCTCGAGGTAAAGATCGTATCAAAGACAGCCTTGGAGCTCGACATCCATGGAATGTCATGTTTAACATTCACTCCATCAACTGCCCTCGAACAGTCTCTGAAGCCATTTCCAGGTTTAGAACTAACGTGGCTTACTTCCGATTGAACTGTGTCATGATCGTGCTTATCATCCTTTTCCTCTTCCTATTATGGCATCCCATCTCCCTCGTAGTCCTCGTTACAACGATGGCCCTTTGGTTGTACCTGTACTTCCTACGGGACAAACCCTTGGCCATTTTCAACCGCACGATCGACGATAGTGTGTTGCTCGCCGTGTTGGGGTTCTGTTGACCGATGCCACCAGCAATATCTTGGTGTCGGTTTTGATCGGTGTGGTAGTTGCCTTGGTGCACGCTTTGGCAAGGAAGATTGATGATTTGTATGGTGAAGAGACTACCGGCTTGATTTCTTGGCCTTCATCATATCCTTCATAGTTCAGGGTTTCTTTTTCTCTTTCGAGTTTTAAATCGAGTTACATATCTGGTATTTTTTTCTTATGAATGTTGTTGAACTTGACATTGTTAGGTGCTAAAACCGAAAGATGTTAGATCCTCTAAATCACACGCATTGTTCAAGTGAAGAGTTGATTTGATAATTGGTGCAATAAACTGCATGTTGAAAAAGTGTGGTTATGGTTCTTGTTCTTGAAGATTTATATGTATTGTTCTTTCCCATGTCTTCCACACTAATTCCTGACATCAGTGGCGAAGAGGGTGCAATTGGGGCATGTCATGTAACATAAAGGTGGCAATACCAATAACATGCGATTTGGGGGTTTGAAGCAATTACAATTGTTAGAGGCCAAACCTTTGTTTTGTCATTAAACGTTTGGGATAATCTGATCTGCCATTATTCATTTCTGTTGGTCTCCAAATTCAAATAGGATTTTTTTATTAAAAAAATCAATTAATTAAATCAGTGATTAATAGAATTAATGGAAATGTATTTACAACGAGTTCTTAACGTTTGTTTCAATTTAATTGTATGAAACAAAACGAGCTTTTGTGTTTTAAGCCGAATTGGCTCTGTGTCTCTCTTTAAATTTGATGTGTTTTAGATAAAAATAAGTAATTATTTCTGTTTGAGCCATATATCCAAATATCATTAACTATTAATTAATAATAATTATTAGTATTCACTGATAGAATTATGATCATTTGAAGACTTATTGTTTAATGACAAGTTTTATGTTATTATTTGGGTTAACTATCCTCAAAGTTTTGAATTCATTCCTAGCTTTTAAATGTTTTAGTTTCATCTCTAAATTATGACTATCATTTTAAATTAGTCTAAACTTTGGAACATTTCAATTTTATTCTCAAATGATGACCTGCGTTCTAAACTAATTTTAACATTCCAATTTCATCTCAAACTATACTTATATACTAATCACATATTTGCTAATAAAATCGTTAGGTTCAATTATTATATGTTTGTAAAACAAAATTTAAGTTAAACTACGGTTGAAACTAATTATATATATGGATGAATTTAGGGATGAAATTGAAATATTTAAAAGTTTGGGAATTAATTTTAAAATATAATTATAGTTTCAGGATGAATTTGAATGCTTAAAACTTTAAGGATCAATTTAGAATGATAATCATAGTCTAGGGTAAAATTGAAATATTTAAAGTTTAAGGATTAATTTAAAATGAAAATTATAATTTGAGGACATATGATACAATTAACTTTTATTATTTTAATATTTTTACTATGAATTTCAATTTATGAACGTGTGTTTGATTAGTTTATGTGCATATTTACATAAATATATATATCTTTAACATGTGTCATGTACGATATTTTGTTAATAAAATTTGTATATTTATTTATTTATTTATTTTGATTTTGGATAACATGAACGGGAAATGTTTAAAAAAGTTACCATATAAATAAAATCACTTCCTATATTGTTTTAAAATGTATTTTTCACATGACGCAAAAGGATAACATTTTGATTAATAATATTATTTACATGTCATTTTAATGAAAGAATTTGAAATAATATTATTTTAATATATGTTGTTTAATTTTTTAAAAAATAATATTGTTTAATTAAAAAAACAATTTCAGTGAAAACAAATAAAAAAAGTTTTGTTACTTTTTAATCTTCACAATTTTCAGTTATAAGCCCCCGAAGGCTGAAACTCTCCAGACTAATCGTCTCCACCGCCGGCCACCACGCTATCTGAAAATCATAGCCGCGAGAGGTCTCCACTATAAGAATCCAATGGCTCGGCCGCCATACGAATTCGACCCCTATTACCTTCAACCTGACCAAGACCGTAACTTGATCAACACACTCTTCATTTCGGGGCTCCCGGACGACGTCAAGGCTCGTGAGATTCACAACCTATTTCGACGACGCGCTGGCTTCGATTATTGTCAACTCAAATACACTGGCCGTGGCAACCAGGTAAATTAGCATTTCTAATTTTCGCCAATCCTTTGATTTCTGTTTGGTTTTCGAGAAATTTATCCATTCGTAGCAGTGAACATGGTAATAAGGCCCGGAGCTTAGGGCAATCTTCTTATTTATTAACTTAAGGAAATATGAAGGTGTTTCGAATTTACAAGTAGTTAAATTTTGGAGTTATTTAGGTAGAAATTTGATAAGCAATGTAAAGTTTAGGCCTTCTATTGCTAGCTAATTTTGCTACTTGCTTCTTCTTTTTTCAGAAATCTTACTTTTTTATATGGAACTGTGCTGTTTGAGTTTCTGTTACATTTGAACTATCTGTTTAGCCATTTTTTTAGAAAGAAAAGGCGGCGTCATTATTGCTATCTAATGATGGTATTGACCAATTTTGGTATGCTTGTGAACTCAGCCTTTTGTGTTATGATCACATCATTGTTCAATATTTCTTCCGTGGTTCTTCGATGAAGGAACACTTATTGAGAACATAAATACAAAGGGGAATATTAATGTTGCAGTTCCATTTGTATGGTACTTGTTTTTTTTGTTTTTTGTACAAAGCTTGGGGAATTGGGGATGGGGGAAAGGTTAGGGATGCTGGGATTCTTATCCCGGACTTGTTGGAGGCGACCTCTGAAGTATGTCTACATGAATTGACCGGGCTAATCTCTAAGTTGACCTCTTTATACTCTTCGAGACTTGTGTATTACTAAGCAGAAGTTTGTTGTTGTTTGCATTTTTAAGAGAAATAGTACTTGGAGAAATAAAATAACAGGGGACTGCATCTTATGACCGCAGGTTGTTGCATTTGCTACCTTTCTAAATCATCAATCTGCAATTGCTGCAATGCACGCATTAAATGTGAGTATAATTGCTTAAAAATAGTTGTTGAAGCTTTTGGAGATTTCTATGACCTTATATTATGTTGGTTCTTTTGATTGACCATATTTAGGGTGTGAAGTTTGATCCCCAAGCGGGATCTGTTTTGCATATTGAAATAGCCAGATCAAACTCAAGGAGAAAACGTAAACCAGGTAGATAATGTCTTAAATTGCTCATGTGGTTGAAACATCAATGGTATGCATCTCCAAAACTATTAAGGATTCTTGACTTGCTCAGGTAGTGGTCCATATGTTGTTATTGATAATAGAACCAAGGCCTCAGCTAATAATAATACCCAGGAAACATCAAGTGATGATGGTAAGCTCATACAATCATCCTCTCTGCATTTTCCCTATTTATTGTGTTAAAAGAGGAAGTGCATATCTATGGGCTCTTCATGTGGGAGCCTCTGCACTCTTACCATGGTCGTTTATCACCTACTCATGTTATCAAGATTTTTTATCTTCAGGAGACGGTGACTCTGAAGGACCATCTGGGGCTGACAATGTTGATTCTTCAAACAATGATGAATTGCAAACTGTAAAGAGGTTGAAAACTCTATGGAGATACATTAATTTTTCAATTAAAAGTAAATGTTTTAAGCTTCATGTCTAGCACGACCAGTATAGAAAGCTTCATACTACTAGTTATAATGAGAAGCTTGTTTTTAATTAGTTGTGTTGAACTTTTATTGGATATCTAAGTTTAGCTTATGGTATGGTGATGTGCAGTGATACGGTACTGGATCCAGAACGCACTGTACCAGTTGCAAATGTAAGTTAAATGTAAACCACTTACATCTTGGTTCCATCATGAATCACTAGATAAGCATTCAAAACTATTTTATATAAAGTACACATGATGTAACCAAGAAAGAATGATAAGTTAAACTTAATTTCATTGCTATTACAGGAGCAGTTGGAAAGGACTGTCAATGAAGGGGCTCAACCATGCTCCACTTTGTTCATAGCAAATCTAGGTCCAAATTGCTCTGAATATGAACTGAAGGAAGTTATATCTAAGTAAGCTGTGGTTCTAATCCTTAGGTGCTAGTAATATATTTTGTTGAAAATGTTCTCTGTTAGAACCAAATTCCGAATTTTGTAATTTTTTTCCTCTGAGCACATCCTTACCATCGTGTAAGAGTAGTTGATTTCATTCTCATTTTACCGGCCCAGGTATCCTGGATTCAATATGCTCAAGATTCGGGCTAAAGGAGGAATGCCAGTTGCATTTGCTGATTTTGAGGTATCCAAACTTGATACCTGTAATTCATAGACCTTGAGATTCACAGCATAACCCTTTCATTACAATACACACTATCTTATTGATTCCCATGAATCATATTTAAATTTAGGATAATTAAACTCTTTGTTTTTCCCATATTGTGTGTATTTTGGACCATATTAGAAATTTGGAAGCATTATAAAACCTTGAATGTAAAATATACTCAAGTTTTTTGCAAAAACATACACTGCAAGACTGGTTGATAATGTAGAAAGAGTGTTTAAAACTTAAAGTAGAAAAGAAGAAAGCAAAATAGGTGATAAATGCACACTTGTATTATGTGATACTGAGAAGTATTTTTGCAAGAAAGTAACCAACAAACATAACAGCAAGCATCTCTTTTTTTTGATAGGAATAGTAGGCCTCAATAAAACCCCCTTCGTGATTAACGGAACTTAAAAATAGTTCCTTAATTCGCAAAAGGAGGAAAAGAGTGCCCTAGGATTTCATTAACCTCAAATATAACAAAGTAATACAAACTAATCTCCCTCAAGAGATACAAAACCAGAAAGAAACAGCCCTTAACAGAACATAATTCAACCAATACCAGCCTTAGCTAGGACATCCGCCTCTATATTGGTTGTCCTACTAACCCAACTAATAAAACCTTCATAAACACTAAGCTTTTGAATAATGTCTTTAACAATTTGAACATAAACAACAGGACAAGAAACCACATCCTTAACCCAGCCAATTGCCACCTTACTATCACTCTCAATAATCAATCTATCTTTAAACCTATGGCGAATAGATTCATAAAAATCTAAACCCTTTAGGATAGCCTTCAATTCCATTAAAGTTGGGGGCCCCGGACCATCAGGCTCTTTGAAGGAGCCAAGGATCGAACCAGACATGTCTTTCAAAATACCACCTAAACCACTCCTCTTCCAATCACTCGAAGTAGCCGCATCCACATTAAGTTTAATAAAACCCTTTGGAGGAGGGGACCAAGGAAACATGGTTGAAATCCGATTAGAATGGGACGAGTAGGAATCCACTAATGAAGGGTCAGCAATAAGATCATCCTTGGAAATAGTAATCTGAGTTTCCTTAGCTAGAAACCATGAAGCAAGCCTGCACCTTGCTAGAAAGAAAATTTCTGCTCGATCAAGCTTCCCTCCTTCAAACACTATAAAATTCCTGGTCTTCCAAATTGTCCATAAAACAGCTCCAGGGATAAATGACCAGATAAGAGAGTTGGTCTTCAAGTCATTCCAAGCCAATAGGAATCTTTTAGCATCTGCATGAAAAACAGACTGAAAATTCCAATAGCCCAAGAATTTCATCCAAATTGGCCAAACAACCGAACAGGAAAAAAATAAATGCGATGAAGACTCTTCTTCTAGATTACAAAAAGAACACAAAGTATCATTTAGAACACCTCTCTTAACCAGAGCTGCCTTCACTGCCAACTTCTTTAAGATTACTTGCCAAAGAAAAGTCTCTACTCTTGGAGGCAACAGACCCCTCCAAACAATAGACTTCCAAAATTTAGCTTCCTCCGAATCGGGAGAACCCGAATAAGATATATTGACACATGATTTCACAGTGAAAACCCCTTCTCCAGTCCCCTTCCAAAACAGTCCATCAGCAGCATCGGCAGAAATAGAAAAATCAGAGATAACAGCCATCAAATTTGCCCATTGCTCAAATTCCCAGTCATTCAACTCTCTTCTCAGCTGAACGTTCCAAAACCAGCCCCCTGAACTGAACTCCCCAAACTGAAATAATCTTCTTGTTTTGTTCACTGCAATAGAGAATAGTCTAGGGAACAATACCATCAAAGGATGATCCATTTCCCAATTGTCTTGCCAAAACCGAATGTTCCTCCTATTGCCAATTTTATAGCTATATTTGCCTCTGATACTACAGCCCAACGAATCAGCTTTATAATGATTACTCACCATAGCTCTCCACATCCAAGAAAATTTAGGAGAAACTTTACTGTCGAACTGCATCAAGGAAGGGTCCAATTTATATTTGATTCAGAGCATTTCCCTCTAAACCGCCTTCCTCTCAATAGCAAACCTCCAAGCCCACTTTTCCAAAAGTGCCCTATTCACCACATTTAAATTAGGAACCCCCAAGCCTCCTTCAATTTTTGGTTTACAAACGTCTGACCAGCTTACCCAATGGATTTCTTTTTCCCATCTCCACCACCCCATAAAAAATTTGACATAATAGAATTTAGAGTCTTGTAAACTGAAGCTGGAACCTTGAACATTGACAAAAAGTATATAGGGAGTGAGCTTAGGACTGATTTAATTAGAACTAGCCTGCCTGCCAGTGACAGAGAGGAGCCTTTCCAGCCCGCTAACCTCTTATTAAAGCTTTGAACCACTGGATCCCATAGAATGTTGGAGTTCCTATGTGGACCTAGAGGGAGTCCCAAATATTCTGAGGGAAAAGAACCCATTGAACATCCAATCATAGCTGCCCAATCCTTAATTTCCTCTTCCTTTAAGTTCACCCCAAATAATTTACACTTCTTCAAGTTCAGCTGAAGACCAGAAATAATCTCAAACACTCGAAGCACCCTCTTTACATTCAAGATCTGTTTTTTCGACGCACACAGAACATAATAAGGTCGTCAACAAATTGCAGATGAGTTAAATTAAAATTCCTCTCCTCTTTTCTAATGACCAAACCCGAAAAAAGCCCTCCTGAAACAGCCTTAAGTATTAATAAATTCAAGAGTTCCCCAACTATATTGAACAACAATGGAGACAAGAACAGCCCTGCCGAAGACCCTTCGCCATTGGAATTTCCTCGGTAGGAACCCTGTTCACCAAAACTGAAACAGTTGTGATGTGATACATTTCGAAATCCAACCTATCCATCTAGAACCAAAGCCCATTTCCTTCATTATTCTGAACAAATAGGCCAGTCAAGAGTATCATATGCCTTCTTGAAATCAGCCTTAAAAACACAACCTTTTAAATCATTCTTCCTCCAAAAGTCAATCCCTTCATTGGCTATAAGAGAACAGTCCAGGATTTGCCGACCGGGGATAAAAGCGAATTGATTGGACTGATCAAATCTGAAATGCAGCTCCTAAGTCTTCTTGACAGACATTTAGAGAGTGTCTTATACAATCCACCAACTAAGCTTATAGGTCTAAAATCGTCCAGACCACCAATGTTTGAAATCTTTGGAATAAGAGTGATGAATGTGTGATTTACTCCATGTTCCCATTCCTTCCCCAAGTAAAAATTATGAAAGAATTTCATAATATCTACCTTAAGGACCTGCCAAAACCTCTTGAAAAATCCCAGATTAAAGCCATCAGGACCCGAGCTTTGTTACTACCACAAGACTTCACAACATCCCAAACTTCCTCCTCAGAAAACTCCTGCTCTAAGAACTGATTCTGCTCCTAATAAATTCTGGGAAAATCCAGTTTCAGATCATCAATTTGAACAATTTACAGAATAACAATGTTGTATCTTAAATTTTTAATGCCCTGTCTTGTTAAGCTCTCTCTCGTTTTCTGTCATTGCATCACAGCAAATAGAACAAGCCACTAAAGTGCTAACAGATCTCCAGAGCAGCCTGTTGCCTTCATCAGACCGAGGCGGCATGCACATAGAGTACATATAACTGCCTTGAATACTATTGTCCGGTAGACTCATTCAATGGTAATCGAATAACATATCTTAATGGTTTTTGTAGATATGCAAGGTCCAAGATGAGGAAGCACTAGGAAAATGGGAATGGAGCTGGCGGACTTGCACAAAATGGTTCAGAAGGGCACTATCCCAGTTGTATTATAAAAGCAAAGCAGTCTCGTGACGCCATTTGAAGGGTGACTTAACTTTCCTACATTGTAAAGGCTAACTTATTACTACCCTCATTTCTGATATCATCAAATTAAACCTTATTCTCATAAATCATTTTGTTGCGAACCCTGGAAAAATGGGAAAAGGCAATTTCAGTGCATTCATGAAATGGATACAAACTTATTCACCAGGCAAACTGTTTCACTTTTTTTTGCATGAATGGCCAGATTCTGGTTATGTTGCTGTGGACTTGAGTGTGCAATTTCATTGTTGAATTACATGTCTATGGATTGTTCAACCAGTTGAACCGAGAGCCAACTGGTTGGGTAGTTCAACCATATATAGGTCGAATCCGGTAAAGTACCAGAACTTGAAAGATTGGTCTAAGGTATACTAGTGGTATTGGAACGAAAGTTAAAAACAGACAGTTGAAGTTTTTCATAGTAGTATGAATATTCAACCGAATGAGTCAAAAAAATTTGAGTTATTCAAGTTGATTAGTTTTATTTTATAACTTAAATTTTATTTAATTTTTTTTAAGTCTAGTTGTTAATTTTTTATTTAAATTTAATTATAAATATTTATAATGTTACACTAATTTAATTTTAATTTAAGCAGTATTCTATAAACATATAAGATACACATATTTTCATATATGATATAATTTGTTAAAGGATTTTACTCAAACTTTAAAATCAATCTATTAATTTATAAATATTTTTTGAATTAGTTGAATTCTACTTTTAACTCGATCTGAATTTAAAAAAATTTTGAGTCAAATTTATAAAATTACAAGTATAGTTAAATCGAGCTTTTTAGAATTAAATCAAGTTAAAAAAATTCAATTTTTTCCAAGTTGAATTTTGTTCATCTCTATTTCATAGGCGTTCGTTTATCATCCATTGACCTATTCATCAGATTTTTTTTCCCTGGAAATGGGGCTAACGCTACACTGAAATTTATGAAACGGCTAAGATTTCACAAAAGAAAGATTGATTGTTCAAAACCAGACCAAACCAACAGCAAAGGACAAATGTACGTTCGATCATCGTCATGTTACAGAGGATAACATCAAGACAACAGAACCAACGAACCCCAATGGCTTCACTTGTGTCAAAGCACCCCATTAAAGAAAGGGTAAAACAAATTCAATTGCTTTTACCTTCTGGATGACCCATCTTTCTGCAACCTTCAGACTTGTCATCATAAGAAAAACATGCAATGCAAAGGTAACTTTCCATGTTATTGAAAAGGATGTTCCACCATCTTTCTTGAATGCAAAGACAAAATTACAGACCAGTTTTATTTGTTTGCTTTGCCCGTTTCGGTCTGCACAAAAACCAAACAATGGGGAAAGAAAAACCAGTCTTTTACCCTGAACTGCTCACCAATAAAAGATTCAAAGCAACCGGTCCCTCCCCTGTGCCTTTGCACTATCAAACAAAACCCTGAACCCACATGCATGTGAAAGAGGGGCTAAACTGTATGGTCAACATCCATGTCATCATTTTTATGGTCTATCTTCTGTCTATGTACAAATCTGGGTTCTTTGAAAGTAAAATGTGCCTTACAATTGCACCAATATCGAGCATAAAGATCAGATTACTTGAATTTATAGTGCACAAAGCATGTAAAAGAGAGGGAAAGAAGCAAATTTCACAAGCTGATTCATTGATTTAATTAGAGGCATATTCACCATAGCTTTTGAAAATGGGCATTTCCAAAACGAATTACAAAAACTCACTAAGAACCTTGCTTCCAATGCTAATACTACTGCTGCTGCTATACAAAAGCAAAATCTAAACTTGGAAAGAGAAAAGATACTACTAAAACTTGGAAGGCCACATATGTAACATATATAGCTTACCGTACGATAAAGAAACCGGTAAGTGAGCCTTTTACAAATGATCTTCACATGAAGGCCGCCTTGTTCCCGGCCTTAGTCCTTCGAGGGAGAGCTTTCCACTGAACCCCTCTAATGAATTGCTAGTTAGCGGTCCACTGTGATGCCATTGTTGCTCTGTCCATAACGGCCACTACGGTTGCCAACATCATAACTTGGAGATGAGTAATTTGCATTCATGAGCACATCACCTTCCAAAATGCGGAGCACCTGTTCCAAAAAGTATTCAACCAATCAATGAAAAATTCCAAATCTTATTGAGCAGTGACTTCAAAATTCATGATTTGAAAAGGAAGAGTTTTTAAGGCATTGGTTCCAAATAAATTACATTATAAGCATATAATATGATATCTAACCATTTGTCTTCCATTCCAAATATTAAATAGGAAAATATACAGCTAGAAAAATAACAATCAGAGCCGATTTATTATTTGAATAGACATTTCAACACAGCTTCAAAAATCAAACCATATTGTGTTGAGTTCGCATTGATTTTAAGGCGACAAAGATCGTGTATAAAAATAGCAATACAGAAACAGTATATTGCAGGTAAAATATGTCTCATCTGGTATAATGTTTCTCATTACCTGAGACATGCGAGGCCTAGAATGAGGATCCCGCCTTACGCATATTGATGCAGCATGAAGCATGCAATAGACCTCGTGTTCAGAATAGCGATTTTCCAATCTGGGGTCCACCAGTTCATCTATAGCATATTCTTCCAAAAGTGGACGTGCCTATTCAAGATTGTAACACAAGAATTAAGTAATCTTGTTTTGGCCCTTCATTCCTATGGCAAATGGCACCGTGTATTTTAAAAATTGTTCTTAAAGTTACATAGAAGTAAAGACTAGTATCTTGTAGCAAGATATACAAGAAGAGTTTCAAAATTACCCATTCAGTTAGACATTGCTGGCCCTTTGGCCTATTAAGGTCCACGGCTTTCCGTCCAGTAACTAGTTCAATTAACACCACTCCAAAGGAATATACATCGGCTTTTTCTGTGATTTGACCACTTTGAGCATATTCAGGAGCCAAATACCTATATCACAGTATAAAACATTGTTGAATTCTGCAATGGCACACAGGGAAGGTAAATTATACAATGGGAAAAGGTTTTTGAATAATACCCAAATGTTCCAATCACTCTGGTTTCCACTCCAGTATCGCCATCAGGTTGCCATCTTGCAAGGCCAAAATCACCAACCTGTCAAAAACAAAACTGAATGAACACCGAAAAGATACAACCATTCAAGAAAGCTATAAAAGGTTTAGTTACACTAATGGCTTCTCTTTTTTTAAAAAAAAAATTCAAGGTGATAAGATTGGATATTAAAATAATTATTTTAATAGTTTTCACATAAATAATATTTTACTACAACAAAAAGGAAAAACAAAAGGATTCTCTCTAATGTTGATGCAAGAAATAATGAATGAAGATCTTTTGGCTTGTAAATACCAATTCAAAACCATGCAGAAGAGTTAGAAACTATGCATACCAAAGGTTCAAAATCATGGGTGATGAGGATGTTGTTCGGACGCATGTCACGGTGCACAATGCAGCCAACTCTGCATTCTTCATGAAGATATCTCAGACCTCTAGCAGCTCCTACTGCAATCTTTTGCCGTGCGGACCATTCTAGAGGCTCCCGATGGCGCCCTGAAAGACGTGAATTTATGCTACAGTCAAAACCATGATATATATAGAAGCAAATTTAAGTATGACAATTTTTTTTTCTTCCTAGATGCTTGATTCTGATTATGTTAAACCTAGCTGCAAGTAACTTCAGCTATCATTAGTTTTTGAGTTTTCATTTACTCTCCTTAAAGTATGTTGGGGGGCAAGTCAGGGTAGAGGGTAAACTGGTTGCAGAACACTTTTTTCCAATTCAATCACCAAATCCTAACGGTTAGGAAAATTACGGAAACACATTTTCAATATACAAAGATTACATGGTCTTTTAAGTCTCAAAGCCATCACAGCAAACCCTTTGAAGGGACCAACATGATGACTGTATCAAGTTAATTGGTTACTTGGTAAGGGCCAATAATAAGCACATATATATCACAGTTGCATTAGATCAACATGAAAATTTTATTCTACTTAAACTGAAAGAAATACCATATAGATGAGAATCCAGAGATCCATTGCATATGTACTCATATACCAGCAAGCGCCTTCTATCCTCGATGCAGAATCCAATCAGCATAACAACATTCCTGTGCTGAGCACAGCTCAGAACTTCAACCTCTGAGCAAAACTCAACATCTCCTTGAGAACTAGCCAATTTATGTTGCTTGACTGCAATTGCCTGGCCATCAGGGAGTAGTCCTCTATGAACAGATCCAAACCCACCCTCAGCCAAGAAATTAGCTTGTGAAAACCCACCAGTTGCAAGCTCCAATTCAGCATAGGTAAACCACCTTGGTGGTTTTCCAAATACAGGTGCCTTATGCTGACATATTGAACACAATGGAGGAGGGCCAGGAGGGGCATTTCTCAATAATGAAACTGCTTCCCTCACGTTTCCACTAAATTCAGTATCACTCCTAAAGCTTGACATTCCAATGCCAGCCTCTCTATCAAGTTTCGAAAATTTCTCCAGCAAAGCTTTCGTTGTTGAAGCTTGAGCTCCATCATGAGCTCTTCCTGAAGTTTCTTCAAGGCGTTGTGAGGATTGATGATGAGAAGTAAGATACTCTGTTATCCATGGTTGGAACCTTAAACTCGTTGAAGATAAGGATAAATTTTCACTCTCTGAATCTGAACCACATTCATCAATATCCTGAATTTCTTTAATGACCAATGATTCCTCCTTCTTCAGGTTTCTATTCCCTTCCGAGTTGAAAAATGGAGAAGTGCCTGGATCAGAGCTTGACACTGAAGAAGTTCCTGCTTCAGTAGCAGTAAATGGTGTCCCGAGCTCTGGACTACTCGTGGGAGTGACAACTGGCCCTCGAATAGAACTGGATGATGCGTCTTTGTTTTGGGGATACTTTTCGGATGCTTCATCTCTTGCAGAATTTAACTGACGAGAAGCTTCAGTTTCCTTCTCGGGTGATCCAACCAAATTTAAGCGGAGAACTTTTGCCTGTGAATTTTTCATAACCACAATGTTGCATTGCAACTCCTCAATGCACCGTTTTTCCTCGTGCTTGAGGTGCCTATAAAATCCAAGAAACAAAGACAAAAGGATGGGGGATATTCAAAGTGTGAGTATATACCATTTTAGATCAAACACGAGGAAAATGGGAAAAGGTAAAGAAGCGAAGAAAAAATAGAGGA